AAAATGTAAATATATCACTTTGTTATTAATAAAAAAAATTTTTTTATCAAATATAATATTAATTCCTATTTTAAAAAGAAAAAATATATATTAATAGATATTAATAAAATTAATACTATAATAATATATTTATAGATATTAAGATTATAACAATATGTATCTATATATATCAATATATATTAATATATATTAATATTATATATGAAATCAATATATTCTGAAGATTTGTAAGTTTATTTACATTGTTCTTTAGTATTATTCACATGTATCAATATTATTCTTTAGTTCATCTGATATTTTCTGTAGTGCTGGCTGCTGGTCATAGAAATCTAACTGGAGGGTTTGAAGTTTACGTTTGATAAAACTTGATCAAAAGAATAAGGCAAAGGGATAACGAATTCCCAGCGGTATCTCCAATCATTTGGATTACTTCCCTCCGCAGAAATCTCACATCTCAAATCTTTATTTTCATTCATAAGCTTCTGCGCCAACACTTTACCACACTCTCTCGAAATCGGATATCCAGTCTGTTTAAAAGGTTCCACCAACTTTACGAGATTTTCCAATCCTGGTTCAACAGAAAACAATTCGAAATTGAACAAGGGAAACACCAAATTTACTTTTGTTCGCAGATATTGATGTGGCACTTTAAGTAACACACGTAGCATTTCTAGGAAGTCTTGCACTAATTTCGCGGAATCTTTAAGTGAGTGTGCGGATGCGGATAAAGATGGTGATGAGATCTGCCAGAAATCGAGTTCTTTTTCGAGTTCAGCTTGAGTTATTGATGATGTTGCAGACCAAAGAATAGAGCCGGTGCGATAATATTCTAGAATAAAATGAAATGCTCGACCGTTGCGATCGAAAAAGTATTCATTATTTGCTGAAGGGTGAAGTAATGCTTGATTGCGTTCAGCAAACATCGTTCCAAGAAAAGTATTTGGATAAGCGGTTAAAGTTGATCGATATGTCTCGTACTGATTGTTGATATTTCATGTAGTTAAAATAGTAAATCAGATACGTATTTAACTTATTAAAAAAGTCTAACCTTTTGACCACCAACATTAAGAATTATTCGTTCATTCGACATAGTTTAATAAAGTTATTTGGAAATTTTCTTATAATTGTTAAAAAATCTTCTGAATAAAAAAACCTAACTAAAAATGATGCAAGCTGAAAGGATACCAATTTATCTTCACGTTAACGTTAATGTTAATGGAAACAATCAAGTCATTATGCCAAACCTGTTTATGACAAGTTATTAACAATTATGGATGATCTTCAGGGGCCAGAGTAAAATCTACATTGCACATGAGAGTTATGCCATCATTGAGGAAGTACAGCATTGATTCCCCCTAATGCTAATACATGTACAGATGTTGTACTCCAAAAATGGTTATTACATGTATTATCATTATTATTGACGTTCTGTGCATTATCGTTATGCCTTACTCGCATTCGCGATTAAATTATGAAAAAATCGCCATATATATTTATGAAACTCGGACAATCATGTATATATAAATAATTGTCCTCAAAAGTTGTAATAATCTCATCACTGGAGAAACAACTATCCAATTTTGCAATCCAATATTCGAGTTCGTGGTGTACAAAGTCTACTCGTAAAATAGTAGTCAGGTATCCAATCATTATCGTTATTGTGTATGATTCTGTAAATCTTATTTTTTCCGTTAATGAATTTAAGTACTGTATTGGCAAAAGCGGAATTTCCAAAGTTTGGTTGGCAAAATGTGAAAACCTGGATTTGAAGTTTTTTATGCTCCCTATATAAAAGTGGCAAAAACAGCGTATACATGTATTATTTATAGTAAGTAATGAAATAAATTTACCTACAATTCTATGTTCTGTAAGAACTGACAAATAGTCGGCGTTTAACGCCGACTCACACATATAATTTTTATCTCATTTGTTTCACCATCATCATTCCAAAGTTTTAAATAAATTTGTACATAAATTCTATAAACACAAAGCACATAATCACTAAAAATATTTAACTCATTTTATAAAGTGAACTCAGAAAGATGGAATCTAAAATTACAAAACACAGTACTCATGATTGTAGAGGAAGCACTCGTTGTCAAGAAAATTATTACATGTACGTACTACGATGAATGCACAAATTGTTGTGATGCTCATGATTACGTATATATCGATTGTTAGGAGAATAAGAAATGCACTAGATGTACAGATTATTGCTATCAACCTTATAGAGTTGAATGGTTTAGCGAAATAAAGATATTGACAGTCGAATTAAAGAATGCGCGAAAAATAGAACACGTACCCCATCCCTTTTGAAAGATTTACCGATGTTGAGTATCTTTAAAAATTTCAGAGATGTCAAATGAAAAGTCATATACTCAAGCTGCAAATATTTATGATTGTAACTGGCGAACGACCATTTGATGAGCGGAGTTGTACTCTTGTATTAGACATCTTTAATGGAGTAGACGTACGATAACAATGTTTTTTATAGTTAGAATATTACGTATTGGAAACTGAATAATCTGCATTTTCAGTACTACAGCTCTTTAAAATACATAAAAAATTAGCGGGTCTCTTAAACTAAAAAGGCAGAATATAATGAGATGAGAGCTTTCTATAATATAAATAAAAACAACAAATTCATTCAATGAAATTGAATCTTTACTAAAAATTAATCTCAATTCCTCTATAGGCCCCCTGAATGTGATTTGTGATAAAGCAATACATGTGTTTGTACACTTCACTATTTATGGGAATTTTATTATTAAAAGTGTACAACAGACATTAATTAATCTATTTAGAGCTCTTTTATCGTTATTAGAGGTTTGATCCGGATATCCGTTAGTGTAAATATCCGGTAGCCATTGAAATTTAATAAGCAAACGGATATCCAGATCCAACCTTTATCGTTATAGTCAGCACCGTATAATCGTCATTAAGTAAAACCAGATATATAGGCACACCTCCATATAGTCACACATCACAGGTCCCGAGGGATGTAGAGAGGAGTATTTTACAAGAAAAACGACATTCTTGATGAAGCACTTATAATAAAAAAGATAATATTAAAAAACAATAATGAGATTCTGATTGGTTGGAGTCTATTATATTTGAGATCCTGACGGTAATTATGGAATCGATATTTTATCGATACATATCTAAAATTTACAAGTAAAATCACTTCTTATATAGTAATGACATTTGACTTTTGAATGTATGAACGAATCACTAATCGACGTCTTCATTTGTTACATTAGTTTGCAAAATACGTAGTCATTTCCAAAATTATCGCCTATGTCTATTAATATGGCACTTGCTGTTTATATAACATTTGCAATGAATTACTCGGTCAGGACTGAAATAAAAATCATCTGAATCAGCAAGCTTCTTCGCCACATAATCGCCAAAACTTTCGCCCGAATGTTTACATTCTCACAAACGAAAATCGATAAATCTTTCGAATATATTCCTTTTGAAAAATTCTCCCATGTTGAATATCTTGCAGGAGGAGGTTTGGAACAATTATAAAGCAATCTTGGCAAACTAGTATTGTGGGATCATTGAGAAAATAAAACTATACGATTTAAAATCGAAGTTATATTACACGAGGCAAAAATGAACAATTTCTAAAGCGTAAGCGATATGTTTTTTTGTTTTCTAATATAATTAAGTTTTTTAAACTAAAATACTTTAAGGAATAAAATAGAATTAATAACACAGCTACAAATGAGTATTCAATGGCAAATACATTTATACATGTGTTAAGTTCAAATACGAAAAATTGACTTGGGAAGAAAAATTCAGGATATTAGGTCTGCATAAAATCCACAATAAGGGATTGTGCATTGTGACTTTCGCCCTGAGTAATATGTTAATAACCAAACGCTTTCTATATTCGTATTTCTTAAACTACTGAGTTTGGACTTACCGGTCCAACTAATTTTAAATCTAATCAAGAAATTTACGAAGTACTACTTACACTAAAGCTACAGATATTTATAGGTTTGGGATGATTATGTACAAAGTTATCACAGGTGAATGACCATTTAGCGAGTCGAAGTCATTACATATGCATTTCGTATTAGACAGCTATAATGGAGTATCTTGGTCGAACAGGGGTTATTTTCACCTGGGCAAAATTAGATGTAAAAATATGGGTAATATCGCGGGTTTTATACTGATGAATCCAAAGGCAAAAATATGGGTTAATTTTTTCAAAAAGTTGCAATTCCATACCTATTTTTACCTGTATTTAGACTAGATAAAAAATGTGCTAACCAATCGGAGGACAAGAAATTCACGTGAAAATCTTGATTAACCAATCATTTTAAATCGCCGATTCAAATGTTTTCGCGCCGAAAAAATTATTAAGCAAACCTAGGCTGATTGAAGAAAAAATACTCAGCGTGCAATTTTGTATATATGGTGATCAACCCTGATGGCGTAAACGTTACAAAAGCCAGTACTCTTATCGACTTCAGATTGCAGTGTAGTCATAACAACGCCAAATAATTGACCGTAATTTTAACCATGATTTTATCTGGTCTAAAGTAAAGGTAAAAATATGTATGGAATTGTAACTTTTTTGAAAAAAAATTAACCATATTTTTCCCATCGAATTTTGCCCAGGTGAAAACAACCCTGTTCGACCAGTGGTACGATTAGTGCTCCAATCGCACACTTCGGGTCGACTCGAAATATTTCGGGTCACCCTAAAAAACGTTTTTCTCGTCCAAATCAAACGAAAATTTATGGATATATACACAATTACATTCCAAACAACTCTACTTAAGACACAAAATATACGTGTCTTAGTAAAAATAAGTTATTAATGGAGAACTATTTTACGATTTTCGGATCACACCCGAACCGAATTTATCGATTCGGGTTGACCTCAAACCCAACCCGAACAGAGCTTTAGGTACGATTACAATATTAAAGGATGGTGTAAATTCATTATTATTAAGTGTTGTAATTCTTTTTGGAAACAGATCAACTGTTTCAGAACTTTGCGGTTTTATCTTTATCAGACAAACAGAGTATTTTTGCATTTTAGTGCTATAGCTCTTTGGAGTATTCTAAAACAGACTTAAATCAGAAGCATATAAACAAAAGGCAAAATGCAGTATACACCAGCTAAAAAATTTGCTTCAAATTAGCTTCAATTCCAACTGATACAGGTTAGTTTTCAATTTCACATTAACATTTCATACGAAGAATTCATATTCAAAAAGCACTCGACTAATACAGTCAAATTTTATTTGCATTATTCTTTATCGAGCAATGTTTACTCTCTCTTTTGTTCTGATTTTTATATTGTTTCGATCTTTTATTTTATATAAAAACATCCTTTATTTATTCTTCTTTCTATTCATAATGTCCATACCACAAAAAGAATTATCCTCAGAACTGTGTGAACAAATAAGTATGTGCATTATATAAAGAGCAATGCTTCAGTTATTGCCTCTACCCTCTATAAAGAGCAATGCTTCAGATATTGCCTCTACCCTCGCTATTCCAAAGCAAACAGTACGTGATACAATTAAAAAATTTAAGAAAACAGGTGCGCCACATTTTGGACGACAAAAAATTAAATTTAAAAAAAGATTGCAGCGCATCGCTCATTAAAATTACCAATCAACTAAATGCATACATTAATAACTCAATTCACTTTAATACCACTTGTAATTATATGAAATTATTATCATTTGAATCTTGCTATGCAAGTCATAAACCTCTTTTAAATACTCAGCATAAAAGAAAGCGTTTACAATGGTGCAAGAAAAGAAAAACTGGAATGATGAATGGCACCAAATCGTACGGTCAGATGAGTCACGATTTTTCCAAGAGTATGGCGAAAATTCTTTGAATATATTGGATGGGATGGAGTTGATCTTTGGTAAAGATTAATAACAATTTTGATTCTGACAATTATATTAATATTCTTTCCCAATACTTGGTTCCTTGGATGAATAATCATTCTTATACAACCTTTCAGCAGGATGGTTCTTCATGTTATACTTCGTATTATAGTCGTTGGTGGATGCAAACACACAGTATTCCAGTTTTATAATGGACTGTCCAAAG